CGAAGAGGACAAACAGGCATGGCTGTCACTGTCCATCTTTCTTTGTTGTCCCACTTGTTCCAATCATTTTTTGCAATGATGCCGATCAAGAAGCCAAAGTTCAATCCAAGTCAAAACTTTATGTTCATTCATAGTATCAAGGTAAAAGGTTGCTAGCCAAAAAAAAAATCATATAAAAGTTTTGTATTTTAGCCCAAATTCCAGTTCCAGTATGTCTCATGCTATGTGAAATATGTATATTATGCATTACAATTTGTAACAAAAGTAATAAAAAGCACATAAGTTTAACAAATAATTAGGAACTTGTTTTCATTTGTTCATTTCTCTTACTATTATATTCTAAAACTATTTCTATGTATGTAAGCAGCTATGGAACATGTTTCCATAGCTGCTTTTGCATTACGATACACTTTTATGTGTATGTTTTTCTATATCCCCATGCCATTATCATGTATTCTGAAATTTCAGTTCTCCTTCTGGCACTTAGCTATCTACGTAACATGTCATATTTATTACATACAGAAGGCCATACCCTAATCAGTCTGACCTGTGAAATATTATGTGTAATATATTTATTTGTTGCCTTTACATACATTTTTACCTGGGTCATTGCAGTACAGTGAAAGTAATTGACTTTCACACGTTTTTTTTTTTTAATTCAAATGTAATGAGGATTTTTTTCTCCAATGAACCAATAATTAGGCCCAAGCAAACAGTCACAATTCCTGACCTCGCAGAGATCGACAAAATAACTTCGAATTCCTCGTGGTAATAGTGAATTTGCAAACACAGTTCATATTTTTTTTATAAGTCTCCGCCAGTAACACGCCCACGTTGTGTGCATTGAAAAGTGCTTCCACTCAGTGGAAAGGATTTCAGAAATGTTGCAGTGAGACATTGAAAACGTTTTCGACTGGTGTTCAGACTCAGCGCACAAGCACCCGTCCTAGACCAGATGACTTGTTATAAGCAGCACCCGTTATTGTTTTTTTGTTGTTTTTCCCTTCGTAGTTGACTGAAGTGCAAACAGCGCTTCACAAAGCGTGTCCATGACGAAATCGGGGATAGGGCAAACATTGATGTATTCTTTTGCACTGGAAAGTATTAACGTAAGCGGGGTCAAGATTAGTGGCTGACGATACGCACACACTTTGACGATAAGCACACATTTACGAACAAGGCGGCAGAAAAAACTACAACAAAGTACGCTGATGACTTCCTTTGCTACACCCACTTCGCGCAAGACGATAGGCCTTCTGTGGCAGCTTCTAATCTGTATATTCGCCTGCGGAAGCCGCACGGAAACTGAAACAGTCCAGCACTGGTCGCCAGCATTCTGCGGCACCTACCAGCCACGTAAATGCCTGCTAATCCATACCGGCTACTCCATGAAAAGTGAGAGAGCAGACAGATGAAAATAAGTTCGAAGAAGCAGCGTCGGATCACCCTTGGAACAAACTAAACAGAAGAGGGGCCGTGGGAATAGATGAGGAATGCTTCCACACGGCTGACCCCATTTCGGTAGCCAAATTGCCCCCCCCCCCCTCTCTTCCTCCGGCTACAACAGACCACACTCAACACAGGAACGAAATACACACAGGCGTGCACTACTGTAACCTGCAAGCTACCGTCGTCCGAGCTGGCACGGAGATTCCTGCGAAAGAATTTCCACAACACTGTCACAATTCGCTGTCAAGAGGTTTGCAGCACTCGGCCACCGCTGATCACGAATCAAAGCCAAGCGGAGCTACGTCAGTTGACTGCAGAGTAGGGCACACACAATGCAGCACGAATCTTCGGGACTCAACGCCGACTGGGCGTAGGAAATATATTTTCTAAATGTTTGCACCGGCTAATACAATGGCAAACCAGAAAAAAAAATAAGGTGGGCGTTGATATGCTTCCCAGTGAGTTAGGCCCAGGTCGTGTATCGACTGCCGACTAAACCGACACGCGAAAAAACAACGATCTGCATAACCTACTATCAGTGAAACAACGAATCACGCGCAGTATCAGTAAGAAACACCCACATGCTCGCGCTCTACTAGACGGCATGCAGGGTTAAACAGTGGCAAAACATTGACGTTGGGCAATACGTCTGGACCACTGTTACTAAACTGTCGCCAAATGGACTAGATTCCGATTCTCAGCGGCATTTGCGAGTGATACACTGAGGCACAAAAAGCTGATGTTATTCGGTGCTACCAAGCGCGTTTACCACCGGCTGTTGCCAAAGAAGAAGACGAAGCTTCTCGCAGTAAATTTGCTGATGCTCAATAAAATCGCAGCCACAGCTGCTTCAGCATGACGACTCACCGGCGAGCAACCAGGGGCGACGGGATGAGTTGGGCCTGCTACAGTGCACTCCCAACCGTCGCACAACACATGTCGATTCGCTGGTTTAACCGGTATATTAAAGCACGAGTGACAATCACACGTCACAGAGAAACTTGCCTAGGACTCCGCGTTCGTACGCCATTATACTAAACAAAATGGCGCTTAGCTGAGATGTGCAACAAGCCCAACTGTCGTAAATTTGTTTTTCCACTACAAGCAACGCGCAGCGGAGTCACAAAAACAGTTCAATAACATGTATTTAAACCCTACAGCACTCGAATATTTTGTTCGTGAAGAAAGTTTTGTGCAGCATCGTTACTTTATCAAAAATCAAACCAAAACCATGACGTCCTTACATTACATTACAGAAAGATGCCTGCGACATCGCACGCTTTCCTATGGGACGGGAGGTTCCTCGTAGTTCAGTTCTTTTTTCGCAAGGAGCGCTCGCAGCCGACAGTACTACTTTCGCTCGATCAACGCCTCCTTTAAAAAGATGCCTGCGACATCACAAGCTTTTCCTATGGGAACTGAAGGTTCCTCGTAGTTTAGTGTTTTGTCTGCAAAAAGCACTCACAGCCAACACTACCACTTAGTGACACCATCACAAAAACACAACCATGTTGCCTCCGAGACGGCAACAGACATTGCTTTAATCTTGAAGGCAGCAATGTTTAAAGTGGCCGCTGTAGCGAGCGCTCTACCAGGCTCTACGTCGACACTGTTTAGGCAGCGGAGGAGGAGAAAACAGAAAAGGGCTGGGAACAACTTTTTGACTGAAGTCGCAGGCATCTTTTTAGAGAAGGCAGTGACTCGATTCGGAAGTGACGCCGTCACAAAGACACAATCGTGTTGCCTTCGAGACCGCAGTATACATTGTCTTATGGCATTTTTGGCTGAGGTGAACTGGCACCGTGACGGTGAAAAAAAAGTTACGTCAAACACCACCTGAGTTTTACGCCTTGCTACGAGCCACCGAACGTGTGAACCACAAAACTTGAATCCACTACAGCAGCGCTCTATGCGAGAGACGTCATTTAGCAGACGACGATTTCCAGCATCCTGTTTGTACTGATAATAAGAGAGCAAACATCAGAAAATCAAACAATGAGAGACACTTGCGAGACGCTACGTGTCCAGTGTGTGCGCATCTGTTCTCCAGGTGGTTGTGCTGCATCGATTCTGTACCAACTCGACGAGGGTTACGGTAATTTTCGCATCGCCTTCGGTGTCCAGTGGAAACCTGGCAGCAAAAGTAGCCTTGTGCGAGTACAGTAAGCTTACGCGCGCTTTTTCCATCCCGTCCGGCCGTGTTATGCGGCAGCGCCAGCTGTAAATTACGCCTGAAATGATGGAACGTCACCGCGTCGTCTGCCAGCGCGCGAGCTGATGGGATTGCCCCACGCTCCACCGTGGACCTCCGCGGTGCCGCCGGGGCTGGCCCTGCCGAACATGCGGCACCACACGGGTGGTACCCAGGCCAACGTTGGCCCAGGTGAACGTACGGCTCAGCAAGAGTGCACAGATAACACCACTGGTGCCGCCAGACGAACATGTCGTTAATCTCAAAGGCGGTAAGGTTTAAAGCGGCCGCCGCAGTGAGCGCTCGCAGCCAACAATGTTCGGGGAAATGAAGGAGGAGAAAAGAGGAAAGGGCCGAGAACCAGCTTTTCAGCTCATGTCGCAGGCTGCAGGCATCTTTCTAGAGAAGGTGTACTAGAATATTCTAGTACATTTGCATGAATCAAGCAACATTCCTTGCAGAGACCATAGAGTTTCCCACAATACTTACTAGAGGGAACTCTAGCGCGAGTGTCTATGGGAGCTGCAACGCACGGCGCTTCAGCGAGCATGGGAATGATGGGTAGACAGGGTAGTACCACGGAGGAAGGAGGTATTACACACATTTGTCTAATATTAGTACTTCGGGCCTGCTTTTGACTCCGTGTGTGTTTGTGTGGCTTGAAGCTGTTTTCTCACGAAACAAAACTCAGCAAATGTTCAACGATTGCGCTTCACCGCCCTATTTTTTTCAAATTACGTTTCAAAATTTGTTCACAAAGTTCAAAAATATTGAATTTTTCTTTCAAAACAAAATCGAAACACAGCAATAAACGAAGCCGCAAGTGCGAAGACTAGGCATATGTGTGTACTACCCATCATTCACATCACGGAGGAAGCTCCGTGATTCCTACCTTTCCTTCCTCCGTGGTGATTCCCATGGTCGCTGAACGATCGCAGCGCCAGAGTGCCCTCTAGTTAATTTTGAGAAACTTTATGGCAGAGACTTAGTAAACACTAAGTCACACCACTAAGTCTTTACAAATATTTGCAAATGAGTATCGCATATGCGTTTTTAGTTCCAACTTGTAGCAAAAAAAAATAAGCACTCTTTCTTTATTATTTTTGAGATAACAAACGCGTGGCTTTTTTTTTTGCCATACCTTTTTTTAGTAATGCACTGAGTTTGTTTGTTTTTGATTACTTTTAGTCAAATTTATTTATGCTTATTTTATTATACTTCAAAAATTTTAAATTATCACATGAACAATAATTTTTTGTTTTATCATATTTGCGTAGTTTTTTTTTTTATTGGCCACAAGTGACGCGCAAAGCGCTTGTGGGATTTGTCGCAGTTTTGCATGTTTAGCACAGTGGTTCAACTACGAAATTTTTTGCCTCGAAGACGTCATGTCTCCTGGCGGCGCTTGCAGACTTTGAGCTTTCCCGCGACTGCCGCATGTGTGCCTTTTAGCCGGATCAACGTGGTCCGCATTGTCTGTGGCCAGAGAACGACACAGGCGAAGAGTTTTACCATTAGTAGTCTCGCCGAAGAGCGCAACGCAGCAACGTCGAAATGTTTTGGGGTGAGTAGATGTCACTTTTCACGGCATCGCGAAGTCGCGCCAGCTACTTCGCACTAATGCTGCCAATGAGCACCGTATTTTTGAAGCAGTTGGTGTGCTTTGTTAAACACAACAAAGAGGAACTTTTAAAGGAGGATCATTCTGAAGGCCTACGTGTCTTCAAATGATAGCATGAATGACCACGTTGTGCGCTGTTTGCAGGCGTCACACTGGAAAGCGGGAAGCGCTATTCCCAGGTGGTGGACATGTCGTACCACCTTTCCATGGCTGCACTCGAACCAAAATCAGGAGGTAAGTTTGCACCTGCCCATCGTCTTTTCAGAACTGTGAAGAACTGCTCTGAAACTTGATATGTGGCATCCTTGGCATTTACTGTCAATTACGTATTCTAAGCGCACAGCAGCCTTAGCTGTGAGGTAAGCCGACGTTGAGCTCTAGATTTATTTAACGCAAAATCGAAATCTCAGTTTGCTTGCGCGCGGGAACGTCCAGCAGCCAGAAACGGTAACGTGCTGCTTTACCGCGGCGAATGCAATAATTAGCAGATACCCCTTATAGGCTCAGTAAATATGGGCGACATTCTCTTTAAAAATAAAAAAAAGTGCATTGAGTTGTACTGCACGCTACATCTACGCTAAGTGTCAGAATCTGTGGCAAAAATTTGTTTTTGCTCGTGCATGCAAACAATATATTATAAGCAAGAAATAGAAAAGTTGATGTTATCATTGCCTCTCATTTTATAAAGGCACACGCCCACTTCAGGCCCACCCGCCTTGAGGCCGCCTGAATATGGGATAAGCAGATTTTGTCATTTGACCCCTTGCCCATACCTACCGTTTATTTATGTAATAGATTGTAACAAAGAATCAAACTTGCTGCGATTTCAAAAGCATTCTTGTTCAAAATACAGACTAACTTGGAACACAGAGTCGGCGGACAGCGTCTTTTTCTTCCTGCTTTTTCGTATTAGTTGATAGTGCTAACATTTCTTTCTATTTTTTAAATGTTTGTGTGATTGTAGTATTGTGTGGTTTGTTTTCTTGAATTTATTTGAACTGAAAAGCACTATGTACAGCTGCATATGTTATACTAATATTTTTTGCCCACCTTATCTTTCCTGTGTGTATTAGTCTTGCTCCGTGTTTTATGATTATTGTACGTGTTAAATCTGTGATTGTATCTTTCGCCATATTCAATGCTGCTAAGGGCCTGTATGTTATTGAATAGTTGTTTCTTTTCACTTCAAAGAGCATAGTGCAAGTCATACGCTAGTTTTTGGCAGGTACAGCTGCAGCAGAAAGACATGCACGGCAGTGGCTTTAACGGCAAAATCTGGATGGACACTTAAGTCATTTTTTATTGCGCCAATAAGAACGGACACAATTAATGTTTTAAAGCAAAAGCGGCTTTCTAAAAAGAGCAGATTCTTGAGCTAGTATTCTGAATGCTACTTACTGTTTTGCTGCCCCAGTCCTCAGTGGCTTGTGCTAATCTTTCTTCGCTGTAGTCGTAGTTTTCCATGGAAAAGTGATACTTGACACTAGCAACAATAAAACCACATGATGCATTTATCACTGTGCCAACAGGCAGCACATTTGCTTTTGGGATGTGGAAGCCTTGTTTTTGGATGTAGCAGGTTGTGAAGACTGCAGAAGTCTTCGCTACTGGCTAAGTTTAGAGACAATACCTTTGGATTGTAAGTTTTTACAAAAAATTTCACATATTAGTCATGCCAATAAATCACAAACATAAAAAAAATAAAAAATATACTGTGTTGTTTCTTCACAACTATGTGATACTTATTTGGTGTGTGTGTATATACATATATATATATATATATATATATATATATATATATATATATATATATATTATTTCATTTCAAAAACTACTTCAGGAGAGCCACAAGGGCCTTCACGAGAAGGCCGTCATCTTTTCTTTTTTACGCATAACCAAGTATGCCGTTTTTTTATACTTGACCAACGGGTCTGACGTGGGCGGATGGGGCTTTGATGAAACTTTTCCCTCCCTCCTAATGGAGAAAACTATGCACGCCTACACTTAGTGCTCATTTGCACCACAATCTCATGGTGTACTATATAGCGGGCATTCTGTGTGCAGGAGAACCTGTCATGGTCATGCTAGAACACGGAAAGGCAGAGTTCCTGCTGTGCACATTGGACCAGGCACATGCCCGCCAGGTGGCACTGGACCTCAACTTTGTTGAAGGAGAGGAGGTGACCTTCTTCCTCAATGGCAAAGGCACAGTTCATCTGACAGGGTACCTGACCGATGGACTGCAAGATGACACTGTGTCCTCTGATGATGAAGAGGAGGAAGAGGCTTCTATGCAAGATGAAGAGGAGGAGGACGAGGACAATGAGCTAGCCCTAGGTGACCACATAGTTGAGCCAGGGGATTGTTGTAGAACTGCTTTTTTCATCTCCGACTGCACTTTCCTTTTTCTTTCTGATGGAAAACTGGTCGATTGTATCAATTCCGAAGCTGCCTAAGTAATAAGTTTCTTATATGTTGAGTCTTCTAATGTAAGCCATCACATCACTTGGTGAGATACCTGTAAAAGCAGCTTGCTACACTGGGTCCTTTATTGAAAGTAGCAGTCAGAATTTAACTGCATTATACTTTGTGTTGTCTGGCCAATGAACTTATTGTTTGGTGTTTGTTCTTGAGCAGAGGCAGTGCTGAATAGGCATCTCTAAATTCCTTAGCACTTCCCCCTTCTTACCTTTGCATTTTGATTAAGGCCGCATGCATGCTATTTGAACCAGCTAACACGGTTATGTGCAACTGCTTACAGCTTAACGAATGGATCCCACTGTAACTTTATTTGGGTCCCTGCATATTTCATTGACCATTCTATTTAATATTATACTAGTTAACAAAACCCTTTTTTTTTTTGCATGGTTGATTCTGAATATTTTCCTGCTTTAAGCTGTTGCTAATTCTGTTAAAAACTAAAAGCAATGCATACCCGCCAACTCTTCTGAATTTTTCATAAAATTATGAATTTCAACCTTTCTGCCATTTGTCAGTCGGCGCCCATGTCGTCTTCGTGCTTCATCTTTGCACGGTTCCAATATGAATGCGCTTCATATCTCTGCAATGCCTTTCTATGTAAAAACATCTGTGCTAGTATAAATTGCATGTATACATAAGTGAATAATTTTGGCAGCTGGTTTGACTTGTTCCCCTCTGCCTCTGCCATGTGAAGCAGCTTCTGACATTCTAATTTGGGCAGTTGTCTTTTATAGCACAAAAGCATCCGCACCGGTTTTACAGACTTTTTTTTTTAAATGCCCAGCTCCCAAAAGGCCTCTCAAGCTCAGCAAAAAGGTCAAGGAATCACTTATGCAAGCAGTTAATGGTGACAGTGAGGACGACTCTGACTTTGACGTGGACAAAGTGGAGGATGGAACAGAGGACGAGGATGATGACGAAGATGAGGAAGATTCGGGTGAGTAGTTCATAGAAACAGTGGTGCTCCTCATCCCTCCGAAGTAGGTTGATAGTAACCCTTTGGTAATTTTCACTGACTAACCCTTTTGCTACCATTGACGATTAGTCATGAGATATATTAGCATTATAAGTGATGACAACTATACTTATCATCAACAAAAATGAGTTCCACATAGAACAAGTAAGATTGTAATACTTGCCATACTTGTTTCATGACACTAGATGGCCACACTTGTCCTTGTTGGGCCAATTGTGTTTTGTATTGCTATATGATGAAACGTCAAGTTCTTTTACCCCATTGAATTGAAAGATTAGTACTTTATACAGAACGAAAAAAAAAAAACTTTACAGATTGAGTGAAAAAAATGTTTAGTAATTTTTTCATGTTTTTCTTACAGTAGCAAAAGAGTTAGCATGACAAGCCTTTTTTTTTTTTTCAAAAAAATTATATCGAGGTTACTGCTGTGATAATCACTGGAGGAGCTCTTATCAAGGTGATAATTTATAATTGCTCACCTTGGGCATGTGTTCTTGCAAAATTTATCTGAAGAGCAGGGGTGTGCAAATATTTGAAATTTTAAATATTTTACTAATAGTGTTTGTTATTTGATTTTATTTGCACTGGAATTTTACTATTTGAAGTAACTTCCATGACAAATACAATCAGCATGCGTGTGGCAGTGAGTCCTTTAGTTTTATATATATATATATATATATATATATATATATATACTTCATCCTACCACATTCTTGCATTGCGGCAAAGCTGCTTTTCAGATTCTGCTACAGTCACAAAGTATTGACTCAAGGAACGCTGGCTCCAGCGTTGAGATGTACTGTGCCCTTAGTGGCCCCTCGATGTTTATTAATATCCTTCTCTGCATTACATTCTGGCATTGCAGCAAAGCTGCAGCCCCTTTGAGGCTCTGCTATATGCATAAACAAACGAAAGCACTAGTTCGAATCTACCAGGATTCATGCCATTTTGTACCAGAGAGTCCAAAAAAATTTGATGATTTTCAGAATCATTTATACATTAATGCCTACGCAGCAGATTTTTTACTCTGAATTTGAAGGGAGCACACCCTTATTCTCCAAATCAGTTGGACCTTCCCAGAAGTTGAAGAGGGGAGAAGTTGAGGAAATAGGATCTATTATCCTTCCACTTGTAAAGTGTTGCGACACCACAGTGGCTACACCAAATCATGTGAATAAATACAATTTGGTCTCTGCATTGCCTCATCTTCGAGAAAACAGCTCTGGGACACCATCCCTCTAGCATTTCGCTAAACTAGCTAAAAAAATATTACATATTCCTATCGCATGTGAATGTGCCTAGGGATCCTCTGTAACCTTATTTCTGTAATTTTAGTTGAAGTACTTAAAAATTAAATATTCGACAACTTTGAAAAAATATTCTATTCAATTTGCATTTAAATTTTAATGTTTGAACTCACTTTGCACCCAAAATTTTGCTATTTGCACAGCTCTAATAAAAAGTAATGAAGTCATGTCTGCTTAACACAATTTTTAAGACAAGCATAATTTTAATGTTAATTATTGAACATCATATTTTTTGCCGCCATGTCCACCTAGCCATATTGCCATTTGTAAAAACCAGGTCTAGATACGAGTTTATTTGTGGAGAAAGTTCCCTGCATAGAAAGAAAAGGGTATCTGAGTATCTCATTTTGTAAGTGGGGTATCTGAAAATGTAATTTTATGCATTGAAGAAACTTCAGTCCATGACTCCCAGTATTTAATTGGATTAACTTTGTCTGACGATGCGCTGTTGTGCAGATGAAGAGGAGCCCGAACCGGCGCCAGCTTTGCCACACAAGCGCCCGGCCAAAAAGCGACTGCTTGGCAAGTCATCTAACAATGCATCCCCATCAAAGGAACAAGCTACAAGCTCCATGGTATGTACGCATCCATAGAGCTGAAGAAGCAGAAAGCCTAGTAGAGTCAGTGACTCCTTGCTCTCTGTGTATGCCTACAGGAGGTTTTATTCCACCCTTTGATCTAGCTCAGTACTTTCCCTCCGCTTGCATCTGCATTATATTTTATGTATGCTACATCACTGGCATGCCGCAGTACGGTTGGGCCCTTATTGTCAGCTTGCAAATAATTGTTGCACACGTATAATTTCCCCACAAACCACCTCTACAAGTCATATACCAGCAGACTATTTTATTTTTTTTGAGTCGTAATCTTTCTTTTATTCCCCTCAGTATGTTACATGCACTTTTTTTGAAGGAAAAGCTGAAAGGCTCGTTTTTGTTTGTTCCACACAACTAATGAGAATGAAGGAAAATTGTATATGGGGGGGGGGGGGCTCGTTTTCTTCGTTAGGCGCAATACTTTCATTAAATAACGCGAATAAGACAAGCCGAGGAATGCATTTTCTTGTCTCGACTGTCTGTTAATGAAGATGCACATCTTCAGCAATTCTTAGAAGTGCTTTTGTATTCAATACTAATCAATGAACTTTTTTTTAATGTGTAATTGGGGGTCCTTTAGGCTAACAACTGTCAGTGCTTCAATCGTAGATTTGTAAAACTCACAGGCTTCACCTATGAAAATTTGAAAATATCATTGGCCAAAATAATGCTCTACTGATTGTAGTGACACCTGTTGAAAGAAAGACAACTTTATAAATGGCATTTTTTGTGCATTGTGTTTCAAAAGCGATGCTACATTGATGCAGTGAGCAGCACCTTTCATCTGTGGCTTACATATGTAGATCATGCCACAGCCGCAAAACTCTTGAACCTTTCTTAATGGTACATCTCTGAATTCTTTCTGCCGCAGCTCGTGCAATGACAGCAAATACTAAATTGATCATGGCGATGCAGTGCGTTTCCTGTAATCAATCCAAGGTGGCACGTTGGTTTACTTTAAAAAAAAAGTGTGAAACACGCGTATGCACCAAACATGTACAGTGCTGTGTGTGTTTAATGCCTAAATGTACATGTGAACGTATTGTGTGTTTTCAACTTCCATTGTTTTTAGAAAGGATCTACCAACTAGCCCAAGAACAAGTTATTTTGTGTGTTGGTTCACTATCCTCCAAAAATTTGCCCATGGTCATGTCAGTGTTTTGGAATGAAGTTGCACAACTATAGTACAATTCAGGAACTACGGTTGCAAACTACTATAGGGGACTGTGTTAACATCAATAACTGTGTGAAAATGTTCTTTATTTACCTCCAGCCTGCAGCTGAGCCTCATGACGGAGTCCCAAAGAAGAAGAGGAAGAAAATGAAGCAGCGAAGTGAAGGTGCCGCTGCGGTACGTAGGGCTTCTCGCGAAGGCACTGCATTGTTGAAACGGAACAAATTTCGTATTGCTTAGCCTGTATGCACCTTGAGGAATTGATAGTCTTATCTTACAACTGCATGTAACTAGTTGTGGCACTAATTTAGCACCTGAAGTTGAATCTTGAGGGATGTGAACACTTTAGCCTTTATAACCATCCTGTGTTGCCATTTTGTATTTGTTTTATCATATTACCCCCTCCTTTTTTTTATATTTGCACTGTTTTGTAAATACTGGTGTAATAAACAATGCAATTTATTGAGCTTCTTGTTGTATGTGCCAAGTCCTGTTCTGATCATGACACACAGTTATGGTAAAAGATCTTGGAACAGTCTTGCGGTCCCATATGTCAATTTGGTTGCTATGTCCATTCAGCTGCCTAGACAGCATTCATTTAAATGGATAATGTGGTGTGAATTCAGAAAGTCCTACACTCTTTGCATAATTCAAGAGCAAAAGTATTGCAGGAAAGTGTCCACCTTGAAGCAGGAAAAAAAACACTCTAGAAAGGTTGTGGGGTACACACTTATAAAAACATTGGAGCGCATCTAGTTAACCTTCCTGTCTTTCCTTCCTTTTTTCGTCTTAAAACAAGTTTGAGGTTGCCAAAAAGCTTAAAAGGACCCCCCCAACACCGAATTTGGAAACTCGAGATGCTCGTGTTGTTTGATAGTCCTGCATGCTGGGCCACCTCTGACCGATTATTAGTGGCAAGCGTAGCCTAGAAGGTGTTTTAATTTGGTTTTAAAGTAAGGGTACATGTTCTTCCAAGTGTTCCGGTGCAATCAGCATTTGCTGCGGTTTGGCGTAGACCGGGACTTCTTTGCGACGTTGCAGGGGCAACATTTGCGGGGGGGGGGGGGGGGGGGGAAAGCACACGATACCTCGACAGGCACCCAGTGAGGACTATTGTTCGTCACTCTGTTGTTTGGCTGCTTACGCCAGGAATGCTCTCAAAGCACCCACATCGTTTCATTCTTCACCGCATGGGGGTCCCCCTATTGAAAAGTCGGGCGCTGCTCCTCTGTGGGGTGCTAGTTTCTTATGGTATTTAGGCGGGCGTTTCAAACGGATGCAAAATTGTTCTGAAATAATACTCCTAACATCAAATTATACAATGCATTAATGCATTTCCGATATAATATCGGCATTACCAGTTGCAAAGCTACAAATCACTGTAAAAACGCGCAAACAAATCTTTCACTGTCAGGGGTCCTTTAAGTTTTTTTTTTTTTTACAAAAAGAACCTAGACCTTTCTGCAGCAATAAATATTTGGACAATTTGCGAATGCTGGACAATTTGCGAATGCTGGACAATTAATAATAGAAGAGCATACAGTTCAACAAAACTCCCCCGTGTTTCAAAAGACAATGAAAGGGAAGATGCCATGAATCTAGCAAGTCATTTCAAATCTCGTAGAAGGTCCAATAGCTCAGCAAAGATCTGGTCAAATTGTGTAAATTGCTCAAAGGGAGAAGTCCAGAAGCAAAATTTACTAGAAGTGAAGCTAGTTGTAAGTAGTGTTATTCATAATATACTATAGCATCCAATTAAAACAAGACTAAGAGAAAGCTAATCTTTGGCAGCAGTTTAATTCATTTAGCAATTGTCCAAAGTGCTTGGCATGGTGTGTGATGTGATAAACGAAGCTACTGTTAGTTGCAGAATGACAGTATGATGAAGTTTGAAATGGTCAAAGCCTATGAACTATAGATGGCTGTCCAGAGTGGTCAAAGGCATAAGTATTAGTGTTTACAAGCAATATGTAGTAGTTGCTCTGTAACAGCAATGTCAACTGACTTTTAATGTTAGCCAAAGTAAAACCTGCATTTACAAAAAGAGACTTAGCTGTTAGACATGCTGCAAGACAGCTGTGAAGTTTTACTGCTATTCTTTTGAAGAAAATGGCAAATGCTTCAAGCACGTGGTGTTTCTTGTCTCCATTGGTGTGCATATTTCTTGCAGGTTTCGGGGAGCCCAAAGATTCAGCAGTCGCCACAAGGAGGAGCAGCTGGTGAGAAAGGCACAACACTCCCAGGAGGTGTGATCAGCACAGACCTGCGGCTCGGGAATGGTCCTGTTGCCAAACCTGGCAAAAATGTACATCATGCATATATTTTTCCAAAGTGCTTTTGCTTTCTGGAAAAACAAGTGCAAGTTTTTTTTCATTTTACAAGTTCGCATGTACTAGTGTGCTAGAATACTGGTGAGAAGCATTGCCTTACATGTAGTCTTTGAAACGTTCACAGCTGCTCTGTGGAGAGTACCCTTTTGCAGAAGGTGGCCGTAAGTGTTCTGGTGATAAAGCCTATTTGGTTCTCGCTTGTTGTAGGTACATGTGTACTACACAGGTCGCCTGGCGAACAGCCACGTCTTTGACAAGTGCGTCTCGGGCAAAGCCTTTTCCTTCCGGCTAGGGAAGCACGAAGTCATCAAGGGCTGGGAAACTGGCATCGAAGGTAAGCGTCACACTCTTCGTTTTTCTCGCGGTTGCTATAAACGATGCCATAGCGCTCAAAAAACGAGACGAGTAGACCTGAGTTGTGGCATCACTTATAACCAAACAGCCAATTATCCCACAAAACTGTACTCCTCGCACTCAGTGTGAACTACAACGCACAAGTGCCTGGCCAAGAGCACTGCAAGGTTGTCAATTGTGGCATATTTCAAGTTATGAGGGCTGTTCCTGCGAGCACACATTGTCTCCGTTTGATTGCTTTCATCTTCAGAGCTAATGTCACCACACGGCAAAGCGAGGGCAAATGGAAGTGATGTGCGCTGGCAAGAACAGCCAAACCCTCCCCTGATAAACCTAAAATATGTCAGCGTAACTGTACAGTTATGCTGTACACTTGGCCACGCATTCCCGCTGTGCACCGAGCGTGATAGTGCATGGTAGTTTTTACAGCTGTGATGTTATTTCACACACATGCATTCCCATCGAAAGATCTGGCTAGCCAGGTTTGGATATTGCTGAATCATATTCTGCTGTTAATAAATGTACTGTGTTAAAGAATCCTTTCTTGGCAGATGGTTTGAAGACTTCACAGCCGTCTCATTTTGTTACATGCTTTTTCTGCCGCCTGTAAAAGTTGCTTTGGAAGTATTGAGCTAGCTTGAAGAGGTCTTAAAATTCTGCACCGTGTAATGAGGTCGCTCCTGGTGCATGCTGTAGCTTTGCTATCAAGAGAAATGACTGCCAAGAGTTGTAGGAATTGCCTCCTGTAGGCATTTTCGCCATTGACTCTTTCAAGGTAGCTTGATACATGGTTGAATAACAGTCTGCACTCAACATTTTTCGATTGTTTGCTGTTCAAGCACTGATAAAAATTCATGTTTAACGTGAACAACCTGGCTACAGCAGGCACATTCTGCACAGCATGGCTAACAGTACGAATGCCAGCACTGCTGCTGGTATTCCGCAAACTTGATTTTCACTTGCCTAGAATGATTGTTGTCATAGGTGTACCTCAAAGGTCGCCTTCAACTCCTAAAGGCGAAGCTTTAGGGTCCCCACATTTTCGAATCTTCTCGCCGTTTCATTACGTGCATGCTTGTTTCACTGCGTGTCACCATTTGCACATTTGAAGGCTCAGGTACTGTAAAACATTTTTTGCAGGTATGAAAGTAGGTGGAAAACGCCGCCTGGTCATACCGCCCAACCAGGCATATGGCAACACTCGTATGGGATCCATTCCAGCTAACAGCACCCTGTACTTCGAAGTAGAGCTCAGGGCTGTCTCCTGAAATGTTTTGTATAAGCGTCCACTGTCTTTTACCCACTGCTCATTATGCAATCATTGAATAAAAGTTGAACGCTCATGATTGGTGTTGTCGCTCCAAGGAAGTCTTAAAAACATGAGTGCAAACAGCTCTCTCCTGTAAAAAGTCAGCCAACTGTGTTATTGAAGATGAATGAGCCCTAAAGCCATGTTGATTTCCATGAAGTGCCATGTTGATTTGCATGAAGCTAGTGATCATCCTCTAAATGTAAAATCTGTTCAAGCAGTTTAATGAGAGCACTTTGAACCAGCATTAATGCTACCTTGCCTTCTGCCAAACCAAAGTTGGTGGGACCGCATCATGTTTATCTTGCAAGTTTGCCTCTTTTTCTCTTGCAGTGTCGCCAAGTTCCAATGGTACCATTATGTTTGTCATATTCAATGATTTTCTGGCATACTATGCCAGAATTGGCAATGTTACAGGAGTGAATGTTACTTTGCACATTACATTCAGCATAATTCAAAAGTTCTGCATCAATTTGTAATATTTCTTACACCCTCAAAAGAAAATATACAAATTCAAGCAACTGTTCAGAGCAGTAATTTAACCTTCTAGTTTTTATTTTGTTTGAAAAAAATATAAGATGAAAAAATGTAGATGTCACCCCTTCATCTTCTGCACATCTTGCAGCAGCTACTCTAATTGAACTCCCTATTACATGCATGACATGACACCTTGCAAGTAGCACTTGCTCAACCTTCACAATCAATATAGATTGATTTTAGCTGTAAATTGAAAGATCAGTAGACAATTAAGGACCCTCGAAGTAACAGTCACCTTAGCATTTTTCATGTAACATAGCGAAAAATGTGTGCCTTGTAATTTGTTCATTTGTGCCAATTTGATAAAATATTAAAAGCAAATCAAAATGTGTTTAGGACAGTCACGAAAGCTTTCTTCAGTTGGCAACCTTATTTAAATATTGTAAAGCCATCCCTTCACAAATTCATATTCACCTGAAGAACACCGGCTCAGGCTAAAAAAGAATTGAACCTGACAGAGTGATAAAAGATTTCTCTCTACGTTACAGAAAAGGTTGATTTCTAATTGAGCAGATGGAAGTAAAAGTTCCATTTCTCAACTTCATGTTCAACAGCGGCACTAATGGCATAAGTGGCAAAGCAGATGTTGCACTATATATTCTCAACTCCTTGTTGCAGAGGAAAAAACTACAAAAGCTGTCAAGTTGAGAGTTGTCTTGAAATGCAGTACAACCATCTCAAGTGCTTAAACAATGACCTCAGACATTCCTGAACATTTCATGTCACACAAGCAAGACTCGTTCAGAAGCGTCACAGTGCAGAGTTCGGAATTTATGTTCTTTCTTGATATACACCTTCAGGCAAGCACCTAGATATTTCCAATTTTTACTCGTTACCATGCTTGCAGAAAGACATCAAATTAATGAGAAACCACAAGAACGCAGCTCTTAAATGCACAGCAAGTGCAATAATGTAAAAGCTATGTTTTGGTCATTCATATTCGAGCGAACAGAGATTTCGAGTCACGGAAATGAAGTTTCTGCATCAAGAACCGATATAAACTGAAAGGTTGAGCACAATATATTTTTCAGCCGTTTTCTTATAGTCATGTGCTAGAAACAGTTGAAACTAATGAACCTTGTACAAAAGATTTCCAAGTTTCAGGAAACCCAAACGTAAACATTCTCAAAAAGCTAAAGGATTGTGTTAACGGGTATGTTGTTGCAAATGTGCTGTTGGTATTTTCGCATTGGGCATTGCTTCAACACAGAACTATGCTAGTGTGCTCCTTGTCAAGCGCTGAGGTTGAGGGCTTTCCAGATTATCAAAGCCCGTCTTAATTTGTTACAGTGACTATCGGAACCCAGTGTTACATTCTGCGGAACAAACGTCATGACCCCCACAACCCCCCATTTAAAAATTGGGCCGAATCTACATGTTACACTGTGAATGTCGTCGAAAGACGATAGTCTTGCGTCTGGAGAGAGTGAACAAAACGTTTATTTTATGTTCTGCGCAAGAAAATCGGTGAATGGTATTCTGAAGGCGCTGCGTTAGAGTGCCTCGAGCGTGTAACGGAGGCGAACAAGCGCATCTAGGCACGTTATACACAAGCGCCATCTGGCAGTTATCTTCGAAAACGAAGGCATGCGCGACCGCGGAGAAAGATGCGCGCCAGTCACGACATGATAAGGTGTAGAATGCAAAGCGACGAGCAGGTGCCACCACCGTGCCGTTGTAACAAAGCGTTGGAAACACCTTCTTGAGCATCGCGTTGCACTGTCAGCGCAGCTCGTTAAACGCTACAGTCCTTAGAAATACTTCTGTGTGTGCCTCTTCTAGTAGAAAGGCAGACATACAAAACATAGACATGTTGTTGTGGCGCCTCAGATATGCGCAATATTTGCTTTTTAATTGAGAATTGCACAACTATGAACGCTAAACCTTGAGCAATATTGGTGGGTGCTGCGGATGGGGTTGGCCGTTTGGTGCCATGTGAGGTATCGTTTGGACGGACAAACACACAAATGTACAGACAGACAGACCAAAATTTTTTTCGCGAAAAACCTGCCCTTTCAAATTCAGCATTTCCACAAGAATGCTTGTACTCTCCCTTTTGCTAACCGTGCAATTTTCACCAAGACAAGCACTCCCACGTTCCAAGTGGTTACATTATTAGTAAATGAAGTTGTTGAATATTCCATAGCTACCTGCAAGACATGTCCCCTACAAGCATGTATCGCTATTGTTTATTCAAGGCTGCTAAGCAAGCTCAAGAAACGATGGCGGTTTCCTCTTAACACAAAATATTTTAATTTCTGCACCAGGGCCTGTTTATAAATACTTCCCTCACAGAAACGTTGCCTTTTTTAAATTTTTAGCACTTAACTACATTTGTCTGGACAGTCCTCAGAGAAATAACTCTGGCCTGGGGCTGTTTTAAATACAAATTGTTACTATTAAAGCAAACAGTCACTTCTGGCACTAATGTGAAGGCTTAGCAGCATGCGATAAAAGAAGTTCAATTTTTTTTTTTTAGCGACAATGTTCTTCACGAAGTGCAGCTACACCATACCACCTTCACTAGTGACAATAGAGAATTCATTTACAGGGGAGCGAAAGAGTGACGAGCTGCTGACATGCCCACACTCACCCACAAAGGCTTCTCCCGGGGTGCAGAACCGAGTTTGCACTGCTAAAGAAACACTACGGCAAATATGTTGCAAAAATTCAAATTCTTAATGATGTAAAAGAAAAAACTTCAAATTTAAACACAGCCACTATTGTCTAATGTCCTTGCTTTGCACTAGCTCAAAGCTGCTATGCTTTGATATTATTTACCTGAAGTTCATACACAATCAGTGCTCAACATAAGCACACACCGTAATGGTGAGCACACTGATAGTACAAATGTTGTGCATTAATAAAATTAAAATGCAAGGCTGCTTTCAGCATAGTGAAAATTATTGCAAAAGAGTGACAAGTTAACCCAATGCCTTCATGCACGCCCACCAGCAACGCCCTGTATATTTTCCAGTCTGGAACTTTTCCATCATGCAATATATTCCCTGGAGAAACGTTTCACAACATTTGTGGTATAGACTTTTTCTTGAAAATATTTTTCTTCAATCCGGAGGTTTTTTTACTGTGCAACGGTCAACCAACTTGATACAGAAGCCTATCACAATGCAAAAAATTTTCAGAAAGGTTTCTGATCACCTCAAATAATATGTTCCTCCATAACACACAAAAAAGAAAGAAAATCGCCATTTTCAGTGCTCTGTACTGTCAGAAGTTGAGAGTTTTTAGATGTGCTGCCCAAACACTGCTACATTCATAACAACACTAGCAAAAAAAAAAAATTGCAGCATATCCACGGAGTGCATGATACGAGAGGGGCGAAGCTTCGGAGGGCCTTATCGGTAAATTGTGAATCGTCCGTCCATCTGTCTGTCTGTCTAGTTAACAATCCTAGTACTGCCATCTCGCATATTTTCATTATATATCACGACCTACTGTCATATATTCACCATTAGTTTCCCTCAATGCGTGCATCCCCCTTCCACTGCCTTGCACACATCGAGGAACCCTAATTCACCATATAGTACAACTTTTGCCATCTAGCGGACAGTCCAAGAACTAAATGAGAGGTGGCTACTTAACTACATACATCGAGGACGCACGACCCACAGCTTAGAAAGCTTCGCCCCTAAAAAATAATGTAGAAACACAATGATTAAAGTTTTTCCACCACCACAAATGCGAATTTCTTGGAGGTCCTACCACAAGAGGTATTCCTTCAAGTCTAAAGAATGGAGTGGACCGCAGAAGATGAACCAATAAATTTAAAGAGATACTGAAAAAAAAATAGACAAGGTGACAAAAAAAAAAAAAAGCACCGAAATTCAACTCCGAAGACACCACCGTTCTGACGGAGTTTATTTCCCCTATTTTTTAACAGTTGCCTTGGTGGATTGTTATTGCACGGCAGCTGCATCCGAGTGCGGTTGTGACATCAATTCTCAGAAGTGCATGCAGAATGTGCATGTTCCTGTACTTCTAGTTTTCTCTACTTCTTTCATTACTCTCCCCCTTCCAGAAAAGCGCTGATGCATTACCCAGCCAGAAGCATTGTTTACTGCCATAGTGGGAGCTGAATGGGTTGACGGACGCGGGCGACAGCTGGCATCGTTGATACCATTCTGGCAAATGCAACGCCACCATAGTCGGTTACTGCCTAAGAATGAATGCAAGCTCTGCCTACAGCGGTCTCCGTCCCACCCAGGCAGAATTTGCATATATGTCTTACTGAATGGTAGTCAGTTATTTACATTACGTCAGGCAGAATACATGAATTTCAGGCATACTACTTGGCCGTAGAGGATCATGTTCATTTCGCCTGTTGTGGGTAGAAAAAATTTCATTTCTTGGCAAATTTCATTAAAAATTTCTCGTCTTCGCTGCTCTGGAAAACGTAATGTTTCAACAAGGAACGACAAACTTTTAATTTATCGTATGCGTAGAATTTGCATTACTAGCAAAAATATGCTTAGGTTAGAACGGAAATAGACAATCATTGTTCTGTTGCACAGATGAACGAAAAGCGTACTGCAGTACTGGGGCGGAGCATACACTTATTCTTAGGATGTAACCAACTATAGATGCGGAATTTTTGTCAAAAACTAATTGAATTCAACACTTTCCTCTACTTTCTACATAAAATAAAGGTTGTGTCTGTCAATTTCAACACCCAATTTTTCAATTGGGCCAAAAATATTGGCAGCATAACTTTTCTTCAGCACAACTTTAAGCCAGATTATTTATGAAATACTGCATTTACCAGTTTTTACAGAAAAGATGCAGCCTTGGCAAGCCAGAAACAACAAAACAGGATCCCTGTCAACATGCTCACAATCACTAGATAAGACGAAGAATGATCTGTAGGGGTTTACTTTTGGCTGGCTTTGAATGCACTGCATATAAAAAGATTCAATGTACGAACTTTTGGTCAAAAATAAAATAAAATATAAAAAAAGATGAAGTTGTTCAACACTAATGCTAAAGAATTCAAGAATCACCTATAAATTTGATGGTTTTTTTTCTCTGTATAAAATTGATACTACTACGAAAAAACCATAACCAGTTACATATTTTTCTCAAGTGTTTTTGATTCATTTGCCTTAGACATGTGACAACAGCAGATATCTACAACTGACGATTTCACGAAATGCGGTGATGGAAGCGAGATTTGGCTTTTTGGAGCAGATTCTGGAGCAAAAAAAAAAAGTACTTTGGAGCAGCCTTAAGTGTCTTCGGAGCAGAAAAAAAAATGCTATAGCTTCGGGTTGCTATTGGTGTTTTTACTAACAACTCCTGAAGTCTAAAACATCACTTAAGCATCTAATAAAATAGTTATATTTACTATTAAATATGCCATATGCTAGTATGCAGCTAGTATACAAGCAGTATTAGTAACATCATTGCTGTAAATCTTGGGGGGAAGGGGAGTGGTTCAGGCAGATGAGGACAGCCCTTGCAAGTGTCCCACTTGAGATTTAGCTTTAGCATGTGATATAATTGAGTTCAACAGTTAAGTATAGCACAATCAACTTTATAAAAGGCTTTTTATCTTTTACAGCGGGCCTGTATTAAATGCCCCTCAGCTGCGTGGACTCTGGAAATAAAAAAAGGTGGAAAAAAAGAGACTGAATAGGACAATGCAATTGCTTGGGCTCGTAGTCCATGCTCTTTTATTAGGATTCTTTTTGAAAGTATGGTTTAATTATTATACAAATAAAAATACAAACCATATTAAAAAATACGAATAAGCCCTCATGGCCTGTAAGTCACCCCTTGAGATTTTTTCTAAATTTACGCCACTGAGTAGCATGCTAGGATGATTGCGCTTACAGCTTGCTTTTGGTTTTGCTTAGGTTTACTGGATGGTCACATGGTTCAATTTCATTTTTTTTTTTCTTTAGTTTGCCAATGCCATTTTGGAGCAGGTTTGGAGCAGTTACTAGCAAATATTGCACTTCGGAGCAGCATTTTTCTTTTGGAGCAGTTTAGAACAATCGGAGCAGCACTTCCATCACTGGAAATTTTTCTGTGTTAAGCATGTACATAATACAATGTGCCAGGCAGGTTGCTTTTCGCCTGCGACTGGCAGCAGAAGGAAAGCCTCAAAAGTCGACAGCAGCATAGCACAGGCACTCACCCATTTTTCCTTTATTTACGTCAGGCTTGCTTGACAGAGGTTGTGGCAAGGGCACACTGAAGGTCACAACAGCTGCCAAGAATGCAGTTATCTGTGAAAACTGACCCACACAGCCAATTACTGCTTGCCGTGCCTCATTATGGCCCGGCTGCACACATGTGGCCTATCCCCAGAGAGCCTACGCATGCAATCCGCACCATTATCTTTTAACTTTGCAAGGGGAGAAACTTGCCTGCTCCACAGAATGCGAGAAAGTACTGCGCATTAACAGGCCTGCAGAGCAACATTCGAGAAAAGCTTGAGCCTAAACTGAAGGCCAGTTCTAAGCATCCGTGTGCTGCTTTCTCGCAATTTTGCACACTTGTCACGAGACAGGCAGTATGCCATTCCTGCCATTTAAATTTTGCAACAAGGACAGAAAAAAAAATACATCATACACACACAGTAACAATCCTTCTAGGTCCAACAAGAGAAAGGGTAGAACACTCGCCCGCACACCAGGCAGTGCCTCGATGGCCTTTTCTCTTTTTTTTTGTTTTCCGGACACCACCTACTCCCTTCACTTTTTGTTTTTTCTCTTAGCAATCAATCTAGTCTTCTCTCTCCACGGCACTGCAGTCCCAGCTGCAACACACCGATGGGAGAGGGGGAAAAGTGTTGTGTTTTTCTTGTGGAGTTCCATGGGGTGTTTTTGTAGGTATCCCAAGAAGTTTCAGTCACACTCGTCGTTAAAGTCGTACACCGAGTACTGGTTGCCTCCCGGGTGGCTTCCTCGCCGCGATGTCGAGTTTGCAGGCGACTGCCGTCGAGCTCTGCTTGTTGGCGGTTGTGAGGACGCGGAAGACGACGACGAAGAGGACGATGCCGCAGGTGGCGGCTGATGGGACGAGCGGGCACCCCTGGGTGTTGCCGCATGCATGCGCAAAAGTGCTGCCATGGCAGCATCATTGCTCTGAGAACGTGGCCCTGCTGCCCGCGATGTGCCCGAGCCACTGCTGCTTCCAGCTGCAGAAGCAGACTCCTGTCCAGCCTCTTCACTCAGTAGCTTGCGGCAGATGGGGCACGTACCATGCTGCAAACCGTAAAGGCGGCAATTAGTGCCAAGCAATCGCAACACTGACTAGCAAATTAATCATCCTAGCTTTGTACAAAAGAAAAGTTCCCATGGATTCTGCAGACTAATCACTGAACACTAGGCATAATACACCGTAGCTACCAGAAGGACACGTTGATGCACGACTTCAGCATGAAATGTTATATTTTTCGTATGCCCTTGTTTTATTTATTTATTTATTTTATTGACACTGCAGTCTCAAGCAGAGACTATAGCAGGTGTGATACATTGATACATGATATTAAAAAAGGCACACTAGTTTTCAAAGAAGGCACATAAAGTGAAAAATGTAATGCATGCAGATAAAACAATAAGGCTAAGAAATTGAACAAGAACACAACATAATTTAACAGTAAATAGTAACTGTAAAATGCAAGAGTACAAGAACAAGCTGAATAAACACAAAAAAGAATATAACTTCAAGAAAAAAATTTATCAAATCGGACAATATTGCTACATGCATGCATATCGAGATTCTAGGGAGCGACGCGCGTGTGTGCCTGACGACGAAGACGAAGCATGGTCTCCGCTCGCTCACTAATGAACTGGTCACGCCATTACCGCTGGTTTAAAATACATCTATTCCACAGCCTCGTCGATACGGAGTCTCTTCTTTTCCGTAACATATTTGGTAGAGGTGGAACGTTCCCCGTCCTCACCACGAAGGTTCGCAGTGGCCGCACCGTTCTCTCTCCGGCCATGGCTACCAATAGCAACCCATCAGCGTCTCCATCTGTAGCTCCAGCCACCACATGCCTGACGATGCCCCACCCCCGTGATCCCGGTACATTCTCCGCACAACCTGGGCTTGACGTTGACTACTGGCTCCGTATGTACGAGCGTGTTAGCCAGACACGCCGATAGGACCCTACAATGATGCTCGCCAACGTAATATTTTACTTGGACGGCACCCCACTTGTTTGGTTCCACGCCCATGAGACCGAGCTCACCAGCTGGGATATCTTCATGGAGCGACTACGTGACCTCTTTGGGGACCCGTCCGGTCGCTAAACGGAAGCGCGAAAAGAACTTGCCACTCGTGCGCAGTCCTCAACTGAGTCGTATGTCTCGTACATACAGAACGTGCTCGCGTTGTGCCCGAAAGTGGACGAGCAAATTACAGAGAGTGACAAGGTAGGCCACATTCTCAAGGACATTGCGGACGGCGCCTTCAACTTGCTCGTGTATACCAACGTCACGACAGTAGATATGATTATTAAGGAATGCCGCCGCTTCGAAATGGCTAAAAGCCGCCGTGTTCTGCCTCAGTTTACGCGGCTATCAAAAACGGCGCTTATGTCAACCTGCGCCGATCTCGGTTCCGCACCACTCATGCAGGACAGTGTGACACGTATAGTTCGACGGGAGCTTGAGGCGGAAAGTCCGGCACCATTTCCTCCACATTCGCTCGACCATGGCGCCACTCAAACGCCTCCGGCTGTCTCCGTTATCCAAGCTGTCGTGAGGCAGGAAATCGCAAAGCTCGATATTCCTGTGGCCTGCTCTGCCTCTCGACCAACCTCCAGACCAATGGCATCAAATGCACCACGCGATGACTTACATTTTATTCCGCGATCCCGCAATCCAACGGAATGGAGAACTGCAGACGACAGACCGATCTCCTTCCACTGCCACCGAGTTGGCCATAGCTCCCGCTACTGCCGCAGCACTTGGACGCCCTTAGACTGGAGCCCATTTTCCTCTACTCGACGATACGAGGACTCCCGTCGATATTCGCCCAGTCATGTGTACTCTTCTTCCCACGTCCCTACCAGCCGCTCCACCGCTCGTTCACCGTCACCTGAACGCCGCTGTTCTCCATCGCCCCAACCACGCCGCTATCCGTCGCTGGTCAACTATGGATCCTCTCGGACAGAAAACTAGAGCATGCAGCTCCGGGCGGTAGTGCTGGATCAATTGCGAGTGATCCGAATCCTCCGCTGACGCTCCCCACTGATACGAACATGATTGAGGTGTATGTGGACGGTATTTCTTTGACGGCGTTAGTCAATACCGGAGCTCAAGTGTCTATAATGAGTGCTCATCTGTGTCGGCCTGCTCAAAAAATTCCTCACGCCTGCAGCAGCTAAAGCCCGTCATGTCGCTGATGGTGGAACTGTGGCCATCACTGGAATGTGTACCGCTCGCGTTAGTATTACCGGCCGCCATGTCCCCGTTTTATTTACCGTGCTTGAAAATTGCCCTCACGATCTAATCTTCGGCATGGACTTCCAATCGACGCACTCTGCCCTCATCGATTGTGCCGCCGGTACTCTCTGCCTAGAACTTCCTCTTCTCCCGGATTCCCACCCTGAACTCCCGAACAGCTTGTGCACCACCGACTTCTTCTGGAAACCACTTAAAGCTCTCACATTCGTTGAATTGGCAACGCCCTTTCCCGTGCTTGACGGTGGTTATGTTGCGACGCCGATTTCTGATGTTCTCTTGGCGAGCGACATTACTGTCCCACACTCCATCGTAACCATGGCCTCTAACCGGACATATTTACCTGTTATCAATTTTGGTTTCATGAAACAAGTGCCGCCTCAAGGAATATCGGTTGCCACGCTAAGACACTTAATTGACGACCACGTCACCTGTTTTTCGGCAGACGTATGTCACGATCACCCACGTCACTCGCAGGATACCACGTGCCTCGATGCAACCTTACGCTCTATGATCGCCCCGGACCTCGAACCTGAGAAGTCAGCCGCGCTCTGCCGCCTTCTGGCTTCATAGCGCGGCATATTCGACATGAACAGCCGTCCACTTGGCCAGACTTCACTCGTCAAGCACCGCATTAACACAGGTGATTCTCATCCCATTCATCGGCGACCATACCGGGTGCCTGCCACCGAGCGTAAAGTAATTCAACAAGAAGTTACCAAGATGTTAGCCAAGGGAAACATTGAACCCTCTTCGAGCCCTTGGGCATCCCCCGTTGTGCTCGTTAAAAAGAAAGATGGCACGTGGCGCTTCTGCGTGGATTACCGTCATCTGAATAGAATCACGGAAAAGGACGTTTACCCTTTACCCTGTATCGATGACGCTCTCAATTGTCTCCACGGCACCCGATACTTTTCTACAATAGACCTACGTTCCGGCTACTGGCAGATTGCTGTCGACGAAAAAAGACCAAGAGAAGACTGCATTTGTAACTCCATACGGCCTATATCAGTTCAAGGTTATGCCGTTTGGGCTATGCAACGCCTCAGCCACGTTCGAGCGCATGATGGACTCTCTGCTACAAGGGTTCAAATGGTCGACATGTCCTTGTTATCTTGACGATGTCGTATATTCCCCAACATTTGAGACCCACCTTCAGCGTTTCTCAGCTATTCTCGACATATTCCGCACTGCAGGCTTTCAATTAAATTCGTCAAAGTGCCACTTCTGACGCCGGCAAATTACGGTGTTGGCCACCTTGTCGACGCATCTGGTGTGCAGCCGGACCCGGAGAAAATTTGTGCAGTCACCAGTTTTCCTGTACCCCGGTCAGTAAAAGACGTCCAGAGTTTTGTAGGACTTTGTTCCTACTTTAGAAGGTTTGTGAAAGGTTTCACAACCATCGCTCGACCCCTCACTGAGCTTCTGAAGAAAGACGTCATGTTTACATTAGGTAGCGACCAAGTTGCTACTTTTTCTCATCTAATCACGCTTCTGACGACTCCACCTATATTGGCGCACTTTGACCCATCCGCTCCGACAGAAGTCCGAACCGATGCTAGTGGTCACAGGATCGGAGCCATCCTAGCCCAACGCCAACGGGGACACGACTAAGTTGTCACCAACGCTAGCCGCCTCCTCACAGCTGCTGAGCACAACTATTCCATTACAGAGCGTGAGTGTATTGCTCTTGTTTGGGAAGTCTCAAAGTTCCGCCCATATTTATATGGCACAACTTTCTCTGTAATAACTGACTATCATGCGCTATGTTGGCTTACGTCACTGAAGGATCCTACAGGCCGGCTCGGGCACTGGGCTCTGCGACTGCAAGAGTATACCTACACAGTGACCTACAAGTCCGGACGCCTACATCGGGACGCAGACTGCCTGTCCCGCTACCCGGTTGCTGAGACAAGCACTATGCCTGACACCGACACCGAGCGTAGCGTCTTTCACAAATGACAACCATCGGTGACGAGCACCACCATGATGCGTCCTAGCGTGCTATCATTGAGCGCCTCGAATCCCCATCTTCCAAACAGTCCAATCGCTCATTCGTGCTCCATGATTGTGTATTATACCGCCAAAGTATTGAGCCGGATGGACCGGCCCTGCTGCTTGTCATCCCGAAACACCTTCACTCGGAAGTTCTAAATGAACTTCATGACCTTCCGACTGCCGGTCACCTCGGTGTGTCACGTACTTACGACCGAATACGTCGACGCTTCTTCTGGCCAGGGCTTGCACGCTCAGTCAGAAGATACGTTGCGGCTTGTGAGAAATGTCAGCGCCGCAAAACGCCATCAACACTTCCCGCCGGACGCCTTCAACCACTTGACATTCCGTCAGAACCGTTCTTCCGCGTTGGCTTGGACCTACTTGGCCCTTTCCCTTTGTCTTCCTCGGGTAACAGGTGGATAGCTGTGGCCACCGACTACGCCACGCGTTATGCCATCACACGAGCTCTTCTAACAAGCTGCGCCACAGACGTCGCCGACTTCCTCCTCAAGGACGTGATTTTGCAACACAGAGCCCCACGGCAGCTGCTTACAGACCGTGGCCGCCCCTTTTTGTCGAAGGTCATAGCCGACATCTTGCATTCCTGTCAAACGAGACACAACCTGACCATGTCATACCATCCGCAAACCAACGGACTCACGGTGCGTCTAAATCGAACTCTTACAGACATGCTCGCTAAGTATGTTTCTACCAACCACATCGACTGGGATCTTGCGTTGCCGTACGTCACATTTGCCTATAATTCTTCGCTCCATGACACTGCCGGTTATTCT